CCACAGCGACACGTCCTGGCCCAGCTCGACATGCCGCACGCGCTCGTTGCCGGCCGCCCGCAGCGCGTCGGCGATTTCCCGCTGCTGCCAGGCCGGGAAGAGGATGTCGCTGGCCACGCCCATGACGAGGATGGGGTGATTTCGGAGCGGTGCGAGGCCGCGGATGAGGTCTGAGGTGGGGCTGGGTTGTGTCTTTACGGCCTGGGTGGTGGTGGAGCATGATGCGTCGGTGACCAGATGTTCTTGTGCTGCGGATGATGCGCACGGCTGTGGCTGTGGCTGCTCCCGCTCCTCATACGGCTGCGCGGGCCACGTCAGGCCGTAGGACGGGTCGCTCTGCACGCGCGCCTGGCGGGAGATGCGGCTGAGGGTCTGGGTGCGGCGGGCGGCGGTGGCCTCCCGCTGCGCGACGCCCAGGTCGAACAGGTCCATGGCCTTGGAGACGTACAGCAGGCTGTTGGCGTCGAAGTTGAGCGAGAACTTTTCGCCGGCGTGGTCGAGGTAGGTCTCGATGAGGAAGTCCGGGCAGAGGGCGGGTTGCTTGGAAGGATCCGCACGCGCGCGGCCGAAGCGCTGCTCCCACTCGGGCCCGCTGCGGTAGGTGACGGTGGCGATCTGGCGGGCCAGCTTCATGCCGGCGTGCGGCGGGACGGCGTCGTAGTAAAAACCGCGCGCCCACCGGGGGTCCATCATCAGCACCTGGCGCTGGGTGTGGCGCATGGCGATGCTGTAGGGGTGGCTGCGGGCGCAGCCGCTGATGCTGACGATGCGGCGCACGCGGTGTGGGAAGAGCACGCCGGCGGCGAGCGACTGCATGCCGCCCATGCTGGCACCGACGGAGGCGGCGAGGGAGGAGATGCCAAGTGCGTCGAGCAGGCGGAACTGGGCGCGCACCATGTCGTCCAGGGTGAGGATGGGGAAGCGGGTTGCGTAGCGTTTGCCGTCGGACGGGTCGATGGAGGAGGGGCCCGTGCTGCCGAAGCAGCCGCCAAGGACGTTGGTGCAAATGACGAAGTATCTATCGGTGTCAAGGGGGCAGCCGGGGCCGATGAAGCGTTCCCACCAGCCCGGTTTGGGGTTTGCGGGGTTGCTGTGGGCGTGCGAGGAAGCGGAGAGGCCGGTGTGGAGGAGGATGGCATTGGATCTGTCGCTGTTCAGCGTGCCCCAGGTTTCGTAGGCGATGGTGAATTCGGGGAGGACGCCGCCCCAGTCGAGGAGGAGGAGGTCTGTGGATTTGAATTCCTCATGGTTGCCGGTGGTGTAGGAGGGTTCCGGGCCGGAGTCGACGGATCGTGCGGTGAGGAGGGCAGATTTGGCATCAAGGGCATCCAGACAGGGAAACGAGAGGGCGGGGTTCGAGGAGGAGTTTCGTTCTTGGGGGTTTGCGTACGATGGTTGTTCTGGCGTGGTTGTTCGCTTGACGCTGGCAGCAACGGTGGAGGGAGCATTGAGAGGAGTCTGCGTGTGTATAGCGCGGTTCTTCGGGGCAGCAGCAGCAAACGTGGGAGGCAGATGTGCGTGCGCTGGTGTTGAAGAGAGTCCCCGTCGAGCAATCGCTGGCCTCCACGCAGCCAGCCGAGCAGCGGCGGCAGCTAGGGGTTCCCTCGAGCTGGCGGCCATGAAGATGAGGAGTAGTACTCGCAGTATGGAGCGGGACACGATCAAACGAGGGTTTTCAAGGAGAGGGACGCAGTGCGTAATAAGGGAACAGCCATTTTATCTCATTTCCCCGGCTCAATGGATGTCGCGCTGGGAGTCGACGCCTCGAAACCTGGAAGTCTTTCGTGGTCTTTTTTTGTTGGATATTCTGCCAGACTGCGGCGTTGCGCATTGCATCATCGGAGGACGCGGCGATTGGGTGTGGACGAGGGCGGTGAGGGCGCGATTGGTAATCGACAAAACAGGGGATTCACGTGACATGGTGGCCTGGAGAAATGGAAATCCAGAAATGATTGGCCAAAGTTGGAGGCAGATGTTGTGGATGTTGCATAGAAACAAAAGATCAAATAGTGATTCAGACCAGTGGTTGTGATGATGTATGTCTTGAACATGGTATACATATACTGCACCGTATCTATATGTACCAGCCTCCGAGCAAAACGGGCATCAGCCACAGTCACCGAAGCCTGGCTTCAGGGAACGAGATAAACCAAACTATGGGACAGTCAGTCCACAGTGTAGAGCACAGCGAACACAGAAGCATCTGCTCTGCGTATCTGACTAAGTCAGCAGATTGTAAGTTCGTGGGCATGAAACCAAGCTGAGACAAGCCCAGCACCCGCCACACTTCAAACACTCCAAATGGAAACAGTGGACCTATACTTGTACTTATGGACTCCGTAGGTACATGTATACATACATACATAGTACACATACAATGATACCTCCTGTGTACGTAGTGACTCTGGGTGACGCCTAATTTGATCGCACCGGTCGTGGGCCTTGGGTACATTTTATGTGGCCCTTCATTCTGAAGGGCTCGCTGCTTTTTATCGGGTGTTACTAAATTTACTGATACCAGCGCTTCTATCGACCTACCAGCGGGGGCCAAAGCATCAATCCACCATGGCTGGTATATATACTGCTATGCTCCC